ATCTCGCGACTGGTCCCACCCCTCCCCCCCCCCCCCTCCTCCCCTTGGGTGGCCAAAATCTGATTCACTTATCATTTTATTTCGGCCATGTTTTCTGTCACATGACTGAGCAATCTGACAGGTTAATGACATCACGTGATGTTGACGTGTGTTTTACCCTGACTGGGGGAGTAAATAACCAGTTACGTTAGAGTTCTAATCCCAGGGTTAGGGTTACCGTCAGACAACTCACGCTAGTAAAATCAAATTTAAGACTCGCCATATCGTGTTCTGGCCGGAAATATTAAAAGAAATTAAACGTACCTTAATCGTCTATCTATCGTATGTTTATTTGTCTGTAAGTGCGCGGCTATTCATTGCGCAGCTTTTAAAAACTCTGTGTAAAATTACGCGTATCTTTTAGATTTGGCTTTAAGAGTTTGGTTTTTAGGGGTCAGTGGGGGGGGGGGGGGGGGGGAAGGGTCACGATAAAACTTTGAATTTGAAAATTATATTGCATTATATTTCAGATTCTGATATTTTAAGTTTCAATTGGTGCTTTCTTTTATTACAGTTGAATTGAAATTTTTCTTAAATGTATGCAGTAGTTGGTAATTAATTGTTAAATTGGGGGGGGGGGGTGCATTAGGGTGTGGGGGTGACGAGTGTGGGGTGTGGGAATGGACACGTGGCGATCCATGTGGTAAACATTACACTGGCCTAGGTACTTTTCTTCGTTCTTAATTGTAAAATAGAAAGACATTTCTTTCAACACTTAAGTATAATGCGTCAACATGTTATTCGCCATATGACCCGTTGATTCCGACTTTATCCTGATTTTCCTTCTGGATTTGCTTCCATACAGAGTTTCTTCCAGGCATTTCTTGGTGGGGGGGGGGGGGGGGCAAAGAAAGTCTACCGTCCTCCACCCGAACGAAATGAAATTTATATAGAAAATATATACTTTTAACAGTGTCCGCCCCCCCCCCCCCCCGAAAATTTCAAGCGCCCCCCCCCCCCCCCCCCCCCCCCCCGAGAAAAAAGTCTAGAAGAAACACTGCTTCCATAGTCTACCTCCACTCAAGAACAATCTCAAAGGCAGAAGTTGCTTGATTTCGGAGTAATCTCTCTTAGATGATTTTCAGTCTCCTGCTACCTAGCCTTGTGTGTATGATGATTTAAACTCGAGTCTTTTTGAGTTAGCAACCATGCGCTCTACCTCCCGACCACGCCTATGTCTGACTGCAAACCTTAGACTGACAGCAAGCCTTAGTCTGACAGCAAGCCAAATGAAGACAGCACTATGCCCAGCCATCTTTACTTTCCCAAACTTAAATCTTGCTGTGTTGTACAAGTGAATCTATTCTTTCTGTTTCTACGGTCATTTTGCCACACCTGATCCTTATTGGTCTGACATCGGTTGGTACAGGTGAGATAGAGTTGATGTGACATCGACTAGCCCGGAAATGTAATGTTTTGACGTGGGCTAGTGACTTGTGTTATTAGGCCTTATACAACCTCGGCTCTACCACCTGCTTATCACTACATCCACCACATCCACCACATCCACCACATCCACCACATCAACCACATCCACCACATCCACCACACCCACCGCATCCAACGCATCCACCACATCCACCGCATCCATTTCATCCACCGCATCCACCACATCCACCACATCCACCACATCCACCGCATCCACAACATCTATCACATCCACCACATCCCCCGCATCCACCACATCCACCACATCCACCACATCCACCACATCCACCGCATCCACCACATTCATCACATCCACCACATCCACCGCATCCACCACATCCGCCACATCCACCACATCCACTACATCTACCACATCCACCACATCCGCCACATCCACCACATCCACCGCATCATCCACATCGATCACATCCACCGCATCCACCACATCCACCACATCCACCACATCTACCACATCCACCACATCCGCCACATCCACCACATTCACCACATCCGCCACATCCACCACATCCACCACATCCACCACATCCACCACATCCACCACATCCATCACATCCATCACATCAACCACATCCGCCACATCCACCACATCCACCACATCCACCACATCCACCACATCCACCACATCCACCACATCCACCACATCCACCACATCCACCACATCCACCACATCCACCACATCCACCACATCCACCACATCCACCACATCCACCACATCCACCACATACATCACATCCATCACATCCACCACATCCGCCACATCCACCACATCCACCACATCCACCATATCCACCACATCCACCACATCCACCACATCCACCACATCCACCACATCCACCACATCCACCACATCCACCGCATCCACCACATTCATCACATCCACCACATCAACCGCATCCACCACATCCGCCACATCCACCACATCCACTACATCTACCACATCCGCCACATCCACCACATCCACCGCATCCTCCACATCCATCACATCCACCGCATCCACCACATCCACCACATCCACCACATCCACCACATCCACCGCATCCACCACATCCACCACATCTACCACATCCACCACATCCGCCACATCCACCACATTCACCACATCCGCCACATCCACCACATTCACCACATTCACCACATCCGCCACATCCACCACATCCACCACATCCACCCCATCCACCACATACATCACATCCACCGCATCCACCACATCCACCACATCCACCACATCCACCGCATCCACCACATTCATCACATCCACCACATCCACCGCATCCACCACATCCGCCACATCCACCACATCCACTACATCTACCACATCCGCCACATCCACCACATCCACCACATCCACCGCATCCTCCACATCCATCACATCCACCGCATCCACCACATCCACCACATCCACCACATCCACCACATCCACCACATCTACCACATCCACCACATCCGCCACATCCACCACATTCACCACATCCGCCACATCCACCACATTCACCACATCCGCCACATCCACCACATCCACCACATCCACCACATCCACCACATCCACCACATCCACCACATCCACCACATCCACCACATCCACCACATACATCACATCCACCACATACATCACATCCATCACATCAACCACATCCGCCACATCCACCACATCCACCACATCCACCACATCCACCACATCCACCACATCCACCACATCCACCACATCCACCACATCCACCACATCCACCACATCCACCACATCCACCACATCCACCACCTCCACCACATCCACCCTCTCTAACTTGTCCCGCCTGATCAAGGTCACTAATTAACGGGGAGAGCTGGGTGTACTCAGGGACGTTCAACTGACTTGAACCGGATTCGATCTCATCTGCGTAATATCAGCATACGTAAAATTAGCTAGGAACAAAGTTCATGCAAATCTTTCAAATACACCAGAGCTCTTTATCTACAGTAGCCTCTATTCCACGGAGAAAAGAAACTAACGAATGGCATTAATAAACAAAAACATGGGATGTATTCTTGGTGGGACTCAGTGGTCGCAGTAGTAATACGACGGTTCATGATGACCCTAGGGCCGTCTTCAGCGCGCGGCCTCGGGCAGGCGTTCCCCGGGGGTCGGGGTGGTAGATCTGGATAGGTACGGTGCCGTAAAGAGTTTAAATGGTGTGAAGTTGGAAATACTTCACTAAATTACATAGGAACTCACTTCAATGAACAATAGCTTTGGACCTATCTTGAAGATGATTATTATGACGACGATGACTATTAGGCCAAAGCAACAGCCCTATATATATATATATATATATATATATATATATAATTACCATGGTTAAGATTACCGTACTATAATCATAAAATAAAATGTGTCAAGTAAGCTGAAATAAACATTGTCAAATCTCTAAGATATAGTTAATTTAATACTACAATTTACGTCCAAACAATAACCGTACCTCCATTCTTAGCATTCGGGATTGGTGGAGGTGATTGTCCTCCCCAAATCTATTTAACCCGACGACTAATGATGCATTTATTGACTTGTGACTTAATTTTTACTTTATTTTTGCCCAAACGTGTGTGTTTGGAGGGTGGGGGATAGGATGGTTAAGGGTAGGATGGATGGTGTATTTTCTACTCAGTTTTTTTGGGTTCATACTGGATTCGTGTAATGTGAATACAGAAGTCACCAATCTTATTAGTCGCACATCTTATTTGATCTTACAAGTATAGAAGTCACCTATCTTATTGGCTCTAATAAGTATAGAAGTCACCAATCTTATTTGATCTTATACGTATAGAAGTCACCAAGCTAATTTGCTTTTGTAAGTCACCATTCTCCCTTATTAAGAGCAGAATAAAAGAGAGTATGCCTCTAAGCTTAAAGCTAGCCCTAACTTGTGCAGTAATGCAGGCTACATCTGAGCCAACAGATTCAAGGATACCTTAAGACGCCTTGAAAAACCACGGGAGAAATAGGCTCGACGTAACAGTTCATTTTTTAGAATTTGATTGAAACAAAATGAGCCATTTTAAACAAGTTATCCTTTTATTCACAAATCATCTTTTTTAATCACAAACTATTCTTTAAATCACAAACAATTCTTTAAATCACAAACCATCCTTTTAATCACAAATCATTCCTTTATTCACAAATTATCCCTTTATTCACAAATTATCCCTTTATTTAAAATTTAATGGCCTTAGTACACAGACCTCCAACGATGAAGGTAAAAAAAAAAATTATCATTATTCTAATTATAACTCCATTTTCTTCCCCAGGGCTATTCGAACCTGCGACTTCTCTGTCCTCGATCAGCGCAGGAAGAGGCGTGACGATAGACTGGCTGGTAGCCCCGCCCCCTTTCTCCCCTGACCTCAATCCATTGCTCTGTGTCTCGCGGGTGATGGCGTCAATTTTCACCGCGGCTGCTGGTCCGGACACAGCACATTGATTACCCACTTTAAGACGCAGTATATTTTTATCCGATTCTTCGAAACACCAGCGATACCACTGGAAGTACGGGCAAAGTTTAAGTTGAATAATTTCAAATATCGATACCACAATTATTTCTACTTACAGGTTTAAAAAAAATATTGAAGTCTAAAATAACTGGATGTGTTAAATATAATTTATGATTTCATAAAAGCACTAAAGTATTTTTTTTTAAATTCTAGACGGGACGGTTTATCAATACTAGCACACTCGCTTGATGTCCGCCATGTTGGTTTTGTTTCTCATGCCCCGACTACGGCTAGCAGAAGTAAAATAGGACGCAGGGAAATTTATGTGGTCGACACCGTTGTTGCTGTGATACCCTTCTCTCTGCCACCCATTGCCGTTCACATCCTCACTTGTTGTGACATCTACCAGACGATTATCGCACCGGCACCTACGACATTAATTCCAGCTCAAAGATCAGCCGTCGGTTGTTGAAAAATATTATCAACACTGCAACAGAAATTACGGTAGTTCTAGAACTACCAGGAAAATATTCTTCAAGACAGAAATTTTTTTAATTCCACCCCTCGTCGCAATTCCCGGGTTAACAGAGATCCTCTCGTTGGAAGGAATTATACGACGAATAAAATAAAAAGGTAACTACATCGCCATTATATCGGCCATAACATCGCCACAAACAGCACCGCCGCGCCATCAACTTAACTATGGAACTACACTGAAAGGTACGTGCACACTTTACAACTCTAGTGTCAATTTACACTGTCTTTACAGCAATGTCAGTAAACACTGTCTATTTTCCCCGGGTTGGGTTCGCAATGAGCCACCTCGGAGCAGCGAAAGAACCCGGAGCGTGAACCCTAGGAGGACAGTTATGAGTTTCATCCGTCTACTCGGAGGTCCGCGATTGTCTTAGGGAGATGGGGGTTAAACATTGACTGTTACGACTCATTTTATGCACATTTTTTTTTTCTTTTCGCTTAAAGTTTGGGTCGAGTCCGCTCGTGAAGCTGTCTTCGTCTTCGCTTTTACGAGAACACAATCTAACGTCTCTTTTACCGAAAGTGAACGCATTTTTATTTGAACGTTTTAGAAAACAATTCAGGTTTTTCCTAACTGTTATTAATTTTACTCCATTTTAGAGAATTTGATTATAAAAGAACGTTAAAATGTTTTAGTAATAATAAAAACTAATGTCAATAATAACATACAATTCTAGCAATTAAATGTAAACTTAGTATTTAGAATTTGATTTTCTTTAATTAAAAAAAATGCAGAAAAGTACTGCTCATTACCTAGATTAAAATTAAAATTAAATTTGAAATAATTTTACAATAATTTTAATAAGTCATGTAACTTATAATTCATTTTACTATAAAACAAAACTTTATTTATTTTTATACATTAAAATTCAAATGTTTTTTTTTTCTTTTTTTTTTTTTGAAGGAAAGAAAAATCGTTAACAATAACCTTAATTCAACAAAAGATTTTTTTTCATATTTGTATACTGAAAGTAAAAAGTAAAGTTTCACTTTTAAACCTGACGGTCTATGGGGCAAGTGAAGTAGAGTTCACATTTTTATACTGAAAATATGATTATATTTTAAAAATATTGTTTGTTGAATTTCTTAGATTTAAAAAAAAATATTTTTAAAATATAGGCCTATTTAATAATAACACATTAAATTAATTTATTATAATAAAGGGTATAACTATTAACCTTATTAAAAACTTTTGAATATATATATATATATGTATAAATATATATTGATAGATAAAATAATTCTCAATTTGTTCAAGTAAAATACTGCAGTAATGTGATATACAAAATATATTTGAAATAGATATACAAAATATATTTGAAATATAGGGTAGATAAATAATTATTTTATTTTAAAACAAGATGTTATTATGAGATAGATCACGACGAAGTAAGGGTGATTAATTAAATAATTATGCCATTAACTCCACAGCACGTTGGGATTAACTGTTCAAATTGACGCACATTTTTAAACTAAAATTACCGGTTCAAATATTAGCACTGCGTATTTGATGAATATAGCTCCGATAAAAATGAAAATGTAAAAATAAATTTAAAATTTATCTTATAAACTTTTTTAAAAATTTCTGTGTCATAAAAAGAGTTGAAATTTAAAAAAAAAATATATAACTAGTACCAATACACAAAATAATATTTTAAAAAATGCATGCGGTAGAGTTAATGAACTTAGTTGTTTATTGTGCATCTCTCATTGAAGTAACACTACCGACAGGGCCAGTCATAAATATAAATGCATGTTCAGTAAAAATTCACATTTAACCTATAAAATGTTCATAATCTCCAACCATTTACTTACATATTACTTGGGATACGAACCTTCATTAACTCATAATATAATATGTCTAACAGAGCAGTTTAAAATTATTTCACTAATAGTCATGAATTATTGTTACACACAGTAGTATCAGAAGTCTTAAAACCTTACATACTAGTACACATACAAAATTGTTTCTTTACCGTTAAGATGTGTTGCTAGTTGTTATACAAGTAGTTCTAAGATGTGTTGCTAGTTGGTATACAAGTCTAAGATGTGTTGCTAGTTGGTAAAAAGTATGTCTAAGATGTGTTGCTAGTTGTTATACAAGTAGTTCTAAGATGTGTTGCTAGTTGGTATACACATAGGTCTAAGATGTGTTGCTAGTTGGTAAAAAGTATGTCTAAGATGTGTTGCTAGTTGGTAAAAAGTATGTCTAAGATGTGTTGCTAGTTGGTAAAAAGTATGTCTAAGATGTGTTGCTAGTTGGTAAAAAGTATGTCTAAGATGTGTTGCTAGTTGGTATACAAGTAGGTCTGAAATGTGTTGCTAGTTGGTATACAAGTAGGTCTGAAATGTGTTGCTAGTTGGTATACAAGTAGGTCTGAAATGTGTTACTACTTGGTATACAAGTAGGTCTGAAATGTATTGCTAGTTGGTATAAAGTATGTCTAAGATGTGTTGCTAATTGGTATACAAGTAGATCTGAAATGTGTTGCTAGTTGGTATAAAGTATGTCTAAGATGTGTTACTAGTTGGTGTACAAGTAGGTCTAGGATGTGTTGCTTTACACTAGCTCTTGTCAATCACACACATGTAAATTGTAATTTGTTAAAACTTGTGTCACCGTATATGTATGCTAAATGGCACAATATATATATATATATATATATATATATATATATATATATATATATATATATATATATATATATATATATATATATATATATATATATATATATATATATATATATATATATATATATATATATATAATACATATATAAAGTCTAAAACAGAATTACGACTTTTTATTATGTGTGTTAAAAAATGAACTTTAGTATAAATCCAAATACAACTCTTTTAATTTTGCGCCAAATGTTACTGTACTTTTTCCCCTTGGGGTACTAGGATGTACTGAAAAGTTACCAAAAAAATAGCGGAACACACAAAAAACCGACTGTCATATTTTATGATTCGGCTGTCATTGGACACGGTTGAGTGATCACAGAGCACACGTTAACTGTCGAGAGCACGCACTCACCGACACACCGACATGCCGACACACCGACACACCACATACCGACATGCCGACACGCCGACACACCGACACACCACATACCGACATGCCGACACACCGACACACCACATACCGACACACCACATACCGACATGCCGACACACCGACATACCGACATGCCGACACACCGACACATCACCTACCGACATGCCGACACACTGGTATGGATAGGCCCATGGAAATAAACACGGCCAATTTTTGCCTGAAAATATCCTACCAGCTCATTTCTATGTATCCAGTTCAGTTCTTTAGATCAATTGTGTACCATTAGTTCTTTCTTTTTGAGAAAATCTATATAAAATTTCTTTCTTTAACCTCTATATCATCCATTTCTTTCTTATAGCTAAATTCCATATCACCCATTTTTTTCCTTTTAGCTGAATTTCATTTCACGTTCCTTTTTTTAACTAAATTCTATATAATCCATTTCTTCCATTTAGCTCAACTCTATATCATTAATTTCTTTCTTATAGCTTAATTCTTTATTATCTATTTCTTCCATTTTGCTCAACTATATCATCCATTTCTTTCCTTTAACTAAATTCTATATAATCCATTTCTTCCATTTAGCTCAACTCTATATCATTAATTTCTTTCTTATAGCTTAATTCTTTATATCTATTTCTTCCATTTTGCTCAACTATATCATCCATTTCTTTCCTTTAACTAAATTCTATATCATCCATTTCTTTCTTTTTTCTCAACTCTACATTACCCATTTGTTTGTTTTACCTAAATTCGATTTCTTTCTTTTAGCTAAATTATGTTACGATCATTGAAAAAACATATTTTTATTATGCAACGATATAACAGCGCTTTTCTTTACGCAATTATAAACAAAAATATTTTTTTTTCAAATTGCTTCCAAAATATGTGCCTACATACTAATTAACCAAACATAAACTCATTACAAACGACATTAATCCATCCATACCTGAGGCTCTAAAGCCTAGTGAGGGATTTAGCCTACTTCAACTAGCATTTTCTATCACATTTAATTTTCCAAAATCTTTCCATTTCAGCTTTTTTTTAAAAAAAAATTAAAATTAAAAAATAAAATAATTAATACATTAATAATTACAAAATATAAATATTAATGTATTTGATTGTAAAGATTTAAAAAAAAAGACAATAATTTTTTAGTTGTTCCCTTAAAGTCAAAATTAGTTCTACTTTTTATTCAAATCATAGAGAGGGTCTGATTTATTTATCATTTATATTATCATAATTATCTACTTTTTATTGTTTAGAAAACTATCACAATAAAAATCGTTACTGATAACATTTTTTTACCTACCTGGAGTATAATACTGATACAATGTCATGTATACATGACATTTGACCTGACCTAAATGACATCAAGCATGTATATGTGTATGGGCATGACAATGTATTCATGATTTATCGAAATCTACTGCAGCATAAATTTAAAAAAAAAAAATCATCCAAAAATATTCACACTGTTTATGATAGGCATTATTTAAAAATGTAATATTATGCAACGTATATCAACTAGATATAAATTAAACTGAATAAAAAAAATTAAAGCATCCTATTAAAATTTTTTTTAAGAATATAGCTGACACATTTGACAATAATTTAACTTTTTTTTCTAAACCTAATTCAGTGTGTTGCACTCATTAAAGAAGGATTATAACCCCATAAATGTGGCTTAAATGACTGACCCCATAGCTCATATAGATGTAAACTATCAATTAAACTCCACATTAATTTGAAATAGGATTATAACTTCAAAGGTGTTTTATAAGGCCCCCGAGGTAGGACTACAAGACAGCAATAGGTAGACTCAGGTTGACATCATTTTAGTTAATCGATCGCTTGGTATTGATTTTACTTCTTACAGACAGGTGGGGTCGGAATGTGTATACAGGAGAACAGTTGGGTTTTCCGTTAGCCGTACCCACTTATGGCTATGGTTAATGTAGTGGATATTTAGCTATTTAGGCGTATTTTGTTTCGAGTTTATAAACTAGTGGTTATATTTATTTTCTGGTGAGGCTTAGTTTGGGATTAGGATTAGAGTGAAGATATCAGGATTAGAGCGAAGATACCAGTTAGGTTTAGGTTACAGTTTAAGATTGGGTTT